TTATAATGAACATTTTCTTGCTCTTTACTTTTAATTTCGCTAAAAAAATACATACTACAATCATATTTATTTACATCTAAAACATCATCAAATACTAAATTGTTCATTTTTTTTACAATAACTTTTTTTTGCAAAGATTTCTTTATAGGTTTATAAAAAGTGTCTACGTATTCGTTAATGTCTATAAAATAAATGTTTTTATCTTCTTCGTTAATAGGTAACAAATCTTCTCTCTTGACTTTATACGTTGTATTTAAATCGTCAACTTGTCCTACTTTATAATTATGAACCGGTAAATAACCTTGCACTAAAGGGTTTGTGCGCTTGCTGACTTTCATGATGATGACACGTTTTGTCGTGTCCCAATACGGACGGTTTCGTGTACTCAATTTGCTAAAAGTATCTTTAGAATCTTTTTTGTATTTTCTAAAAATAACATTCTGTTCCAACAGATAAAGGTTTTATTATTTTTAATTTTTGATTTTTGTATTCTTTTTCTACGCGACGCAACATGTTGGATGTAAAGTCATGTTTGCGTTTTTTGTTGCTTACGTATTGATCAATCATACGCAGAGCTTTACCTTTATTGTCATCGGCATCCAAATTTTCGGGACTTATACCGCTCGATGTTTTTTCTTCTTTTTCTTTTTCAGCTAAATAGGCTTTACCGTAATTTTTAGAATGAAAGTGATGCACGTTTTCGTATTCGCACCATTCTTTCATTTTTGAATTAAAAAATTCTGTACCTTCGTCTGTTTGCAAATATATAAAAATTTTGTCGTCGTCTCGTTAAATGTCTTTCAAAATGTGTCTAAAACTGCTGACTGTTTTTTCTGCAGTCTTTTTTTTCATTACTCTCAAATACACTTTACCCGAAACACCGTCAACTACGACTAAACAATAATCAGGACGACAACCAGGATTAAAATTAAAACTCTCCATGTCTGCCATGTCGGCTTGAAAATATTGATGAGGTTTTTCGTATGAAAACCGATGCGTTTCGTAAACGTATGGTTTTCTCGGCGCTTGTTTTTTAACGTTCGCGTTACCGGTTTTTTTAAAAAGAAGTGTTTGATGCGATCAAGCAGTAATCATACCGTCTCATTTAGCAAAAACTGAATTTTCTAAAATTGTTTTAACTTTTTCATAAAATTTCAAATTGCTGACAATTTTTTTTAAAGTGTTAAATTGTGACATTATTTTTTCAATTTTTGACAAGTTGGTCAACCCAAATAATCGACTGGATAAATCGTCAAGTTAAATTTTGATAAGACGATCTAATTTATCTCTCAATGCGTCTTCCATTTTTTTTTAAAGATCTTTACCTTTTTTTCTTGTCGAATATTTTTTTTCTAACAAACGTTTAGGTTTTATTTCTTTACTAGTATTTGCCATAGCTAAAGTAGGTAAAGCGGTAGCATCGACAGGTTTTCCTTAAGTAGGTAAAGCGGTAGCGCCGACAGGTTTTTCTACTTTATATAACCAAGAGTCTTCTTTTGGAGCAGATTCTAACCAAGGTTTATCTTTATAACTAGATTGAGGTGTATTAACTAAAGATTCGGGATGAGGTAACACAGACTTTTTTGAAAAAAATGATTTCTTTACAGGAGAAAGGTTGATATCAACTATTGGATGCACAAACATATTATTTGTCTTTAATGAAGTGATTGATTTTAAAATGGATGCAAAATTTTTAATTTCGTCAGATTTATTAGATTAAATTTCAAAACATTTTGTATATGCCGTATATTCAATCGAAAGAATTGAGAACTGTATAAAGAACCCATTATCATCATCATTTCGATGAATGTTTTTGTTTAACATTGATTTCTGTATTATAAAATTGATTCGAATTGCTTTTTACTTGTTCTAAAAAATCTTGCATGTTTGCTTGTATGCAAGCGGCTACGACGTTGTCTTGTAATTTTACTTTGTCGTCTACATCTCTATATGGTAAAGAAGGTGGATTTGCGAAAAACAAATGTGTTCACCGATCGATATACTTTGCATCGCGTTTTCGTTGTAATTGTTAATCATTAAATTATAAATATTTTTGTCGAGCATGTAAACGCTGTTAGATTTGATGTAATCGGTTAAAATGTTATAGTTGTAACCTTTAAATTGTTCTGTGTATTGTATTAATCACGAGTTGACAACTTTTTTTGTTTCAGATAAAAAATCAAAAGCAATATTGTCTGAAAAACTTTTGTCTACTAAAGAATCGCTTTCAAAAAAGGCTGAAGTCATGACAGTGGAAAGACGACTTGAAAAGGTTTCCTGATATGTGCTTTCTGCCGTCAATTTGTTTTCGTGTCTAAAAGGTATTTTATATTTTTTTAAATAATTCCACAATTTAGCAAAAGTAAGATTTTTAATTTGATAATAATCTGCAACCATTCTTAAACTGCCTAATGGGCACCTCTAAGGTAAAGCAAGTAAAGTTAGAAATTCGTTAGCGTAATAAGAATAATGTTCAGGATCATTTATGATTTCGTAAAAAGTTGCGTTAACGTTGTTATTAATGCTAGTAAAGATACTTCAACGTCTACTACGTTATTCATAAATTGAATGTATATTTTTAAATTGTTCAATGTCGCTTCTTCACCTCTATTTTTACACATGTCTAATAAATTTGCCATGAGTTTAGTTACTTCTGCTTTGTTTGGTTTTTCGTAAAAAGTTAAAAATCGATTAAGAGGAGTTAAAAGATAAACTTTTTTGTTAATCGGTTGACCAGTATTTAAAGTAGTTTTTTGTGACAAGTTATTTAAACTTGATTGTACAGAATTAGGTGGCATAGGATTAAGAGAATTAATTTCTTCTTGAGGAACATATTTTTTTATGTTTCTCATGGTTCTTAAAGTTTCGCGAATAGTTCTTTGATCGACTTGAGCGTTAAATTCGTTGTATTTGTTTTGTCCGATTAACTTGCTAAAAGCGTAAGCATCACCTCCTACGTTGAGATAAGTTTTCCATTTTTCTTGATAGTTATACAGCGATTTTGTCAAATCACCGTTCAGTTGTGTTTCGATAGGTAATAAATTATTTAATTCTTGTTGAAAGCGTAATTCGCGTTCGATTTGCGCTTCTGCATTTATCGGATCAGCATAGATAAGGGAAGAGGGTAAATCGTATCTTTCGGTCAAATGAGAAATGTCAGATTTCATTGTTGTTTCTGGCATGTCAGAATTTTGTGTAGCAGTTTCTGTTTCTTTTTCTTCAGTTTCTTTTTCCATTTCCAACCTAGTTTTTTGTAGACGTCAGTGTTGTAAGCGGTAGGCTCTCTTGTCAAACCCTTATTCCGACGCTGTCCTTAAAGTCCGCGAAATGGCGAGTTATAACGCTTTAAAGATTTCGCGATGGATTTGCTACGGAGTTTATTTTTAATTTTTTTTTATCAAGATGCTCTAAAAAATCCTAATGGTCTTGTCACAGCGCACCGCCACAAGGAGAGTACCATTTAATAAGTTGGCTTTACTTTTTATTATATTTTGCTTAATTATAAAATCAAATACTTATAATAAAATAAAATATTTAGTATATAAAAGTTTTATAGTTTGGTTATTTGGTTATGTTAAAATAATGTTTATTACGTACTTTGAATATTTTGCCTTTTAATGGCGAAATTATATTTAGCAATTGTTCGAAGCGTCATGCGAAAAATTTGCAGGGAAAATAAAACAAAAAATTTGCCGGGAAATTGTTTACTTTAAAAATGTTTAAATTAAAAATATATTATATACATTTGACATATGTAATGTGAGTTAGCTACACAGCCATTTCCTCGATTACTCCGTGACTTTTTCAAAATTCCACCCGATTTCGCTGATTATTATTTTCAAAATTCAAGTAAACTTCACTCATTATAATTATCAAAATTCAACCCAATTTCACTCATTATTCACTGATTTTTTTGCAGAAAACTGAACACAGGTACTCTACCGATTATTATCAATTTAAATATTGATTAAATGATTAAAATAATATGAACGTATCATTATTAACGTAAGTTTATTAAAAATTTTTATTATTAACATCAAAAATAGATATATTGCCACAAAACAAATTTTTTTTACCTTAATTATGATGAACTCAGTTTACTTTTTAAACTATTGGCTAATGATCAATACAGTAAATTTCAAATCATTAAAATTTACCAAATTAAAACCATATCTCAACAGTAGGTTCAACCAAATTTAAACAAAAGCTAGACACTAAAGAAAAAAAAAGAAAAAAGAAAGAAAATATTAAAAAACATATTTTGTTATTCATACATGTAAAAGTTTACTTATTTATATAACTATATTATTTATATAATTAACTATTAATTGATATACAAAAAATGTTGTTAAAAACCTTGAAATATAAAAATATTTCTTGGTTTTTAACAATATGACATAAAAAATAGGCTTTTAAAGAAAATCAACAGAAATAATGTTAAACCTTAACTAGACAATATTGGACTCCTACTTATATTAGGAATAATACAATGTAATAAGACTCATACCCCAGGTTCCATTGAGTCTAAAGTAAAGAAGTAATTTAATTTATTTTAAAAAACTAATAATAAAAATACTGACAGATCCTCTCAAACGCTTCATCTAAACTTTAAAAAAAACTTTTTTAAAATAAAGACCTGAAATATTTCTAAAAAAAAGCCAAACTAAAAAAACCAATTAACTAAAAGTGATACTATTGACTAACAATTGTTGTTATCAACTGTTTTTTCTCTAAGCAGTCTCACTAAAAAGTTAAACTTTTAACTCTAACTTCAAATCAAACTTTTTTTAAATAAATTTAAAATGTTTACAATCTTCATTTAAAAGAATTATTAATAACTGTTTGTCCTTCTTAAAATTTTTTTGATTTTGAGCTTATTCTCTTCTTGTCACCATAAATCTGAAGTGTGATTGGACTATTGAAAGATCCAAACCAGTGATTCTAATATTTGTTAGGGTTTTCGGGCCTCAAGTGTTTGGTTTGATTAAAAAATAGACAAATCACATTGGTTCAATAGGAATATTGTAAAAAAAATCGTCTAAAGGTGCATATTCTTCAATTATATCTTGTTTCTCCTTTTTTTCTTCTAAAATTTTTATACTAGATGCAATTCTTCTTTTTTCTGTCGAAATTCCAATTCTGCCGGTAAATTTTGTTTTCAAAATTTTTGGTTTAGGTAATTTATCTGAAATTGCACATGCACACCTTTTTTTCTTAGTAACTTCATTCCTTTCTAATGGGATGTTGTCGTGTTTAGGGACAAGTGTTTGAAGCTCATTTAGGATTTCTTGAAGTTTAAATTTTAAGGATTTAACCACAATCTCATCATAAACTAAGTAACTTAATGTTTTTATTTGAGAAAGGATATCTCTACATGATGATGCATTTGTTTGCTTAGGGTATATTTTATTCTGCACATTTTCCAAAATAACATGACCTTGTGTCTCAGATAAGTTGTCTTCAAAACATATATTAGATTCTTCTTCATGACAAGATTCATTACCATAAATGACTGAATTATCCAAACAAAAGTATGGAGAAAATCGGTAACTATCTGGCAATAAATCCCAACTAACTCCATCGCAATGTTGAAAGATTGCTACCATATGTTTGCATGGCATCAATGTTTTCTTCCATTCTATGCATTGGCAATCAGGGAACTTAGTGTCTTGACCTCCAATAGTGACAATATAACTTTTTGCACTTGTGAAGCTTTTTACCTCATACATTTGCTTATTCTTAGAATTTTCATGGAATGTAATTTTTAGGTTATTGCAGTCCTTCACAAGACCAAATTTTTCTATACAATGTCTTGTGAAATTCTCAGGTTTATTACAAAGCCATTTTGGAAGGTTGCTATTGTAGAGTCTGTAGTCTGAGCAGCGACGAATATTAGCTTCCACATACCTTAAAGAATGAATAATAATAAATTATTTGCTAAGATTATTCTCAAGACAATAATTATTAAAATTTATAAAAACTTTAATAAGAATAGAAAGGTCTATTAAAAAACTGCATATACATAGAAACTAATAAAATCCCTTTTTATTATTCTAATAAATTTGACAGTATGTCTGACATAAATTTTATTATTCTAATAAATTTGACAATATGTCTATATTATCAATTAACAACGAATGTTTGCATTGCCATTTCAGTATAATGAAAGTATAATTGCTTTTCAGTATAGTTGCTTTTGTAAAAAGTTTACCTGCTGTATGTCTCAGGAATAAATTGATCAACAAGAACTGTCACCATTCCACTTAACGAGTTATCCTTATACTGATTTAAAAACTCATGTTTGAAATCTCTGTTTTTTCGCTCAACACCGTTGTTTGTATTTACAACTGTCTCTAATATTCCACTTCTGAATGCTTTGACCCAACGCTACATAAAGGAAAAAAGCCAGTATTACGTCCATTCATAAACATAATAGGATACATAATAGGATAATAAATGGTTATATTGCATAAAACTTGTAAGCAACAAGATCCTACCTTTTTCTCAGGCAACCATGTGTTTTCTATGTAACTTTTAAATTTAATGCTATTTGTAGAGATCCATATTGGATCCTTGTGTAGAGCTTGTATAGCAATGTCATATTCTTCCTGTGTTTCAGAAGCAGCTATTCGTCTAAGTAAACAAAGAGCAGTGTGCTTGACTGATCTCATTCCATTTGCATTAGCAGACAACCATCTTTCCCATGCTTGCTTACGGTGAAAATCACAGAGAATAACAAAGCAATTTTAAAAACAATCATTATGCTCAAATATAAATTTATTTCATATGTAACTTATGTCTTTAATTTAGAGAAAATTAGGCACCAATAATCCTAAAATCCAGGGTACTTTAAGGTTAATATTATTTTTTTACAATTTCTTAACTCTAAAATAGCTCTAACACTAATGAACCCATTTTTTTCACTACATTTATTATTCTGCAAATCTATATCCCACAACATATGTACTACATCAGCTTTTATGATATCCGCTTGAATAACTGATAAAGGCACTAGAGGGTTCGATGAATGACATTCACCAACTATAGAAATTACATTTTTTTGACATAATCAGTTAATTAAAAATTATTTCTATTATCATATATATACTTAGCATAGACAAATCTTTGCTACATTTATGGGATTACACTCCTAATGTAATTTGGTATATTAGAGGTGTAAACACTTTTCTATTATAAGGGGTGTACCCTGATAGTCATCCGGTGGCACAGGAAAACTTGTTTTCTAAAATGGTGACTTAAATTTCAAATAAAATTTCTCTTGGTAGCCCAGCAGGACAACCAGGCAGTTTGTTACTTACAAAAAAATGTTTATTATTAATATAAGATTTCATTCCTTGCAATTATTTAAAAGAAACCTTCAAAAAGTATATAATTTAGTCATACACTACGTTTAAAAATAAATACACTATGGCGCATTAATACATTTTTAGATATTACCGGCCTACTAGTTGAAATATTTTTCTTACTTGAGTTGTCATTGCAGACAACTCAAGTAAGAAAAATATTTCAGCTGCAGGGACACCATGAAATGACCAAAGGACACACCCCTGTATATATAACAACTTCATCTATTACTAAAAATAATCAACCATTTTCACAAAAAATTATCAAACACTTTCAGAACATCAGTTAGGGCAGCAACTCTAATTACACAGGATAATAATTTACCATAAATATACCTTACCTATGTATACGCATGAACAAAGAAGCTATAACAACAAAAAGAAATTATAATTAAATATAACAAACCAACCTTTAAAAACATTTTCGATTGATAAAATTTCTGCCTCACAGTTATCAGTCATAAAACACTTAGGGTTCCATTCTGGATTCCACTGACTTAATTTTTTTAGTGCTTCTGTTATTGTATCAGTAGTTTCATCTTGCACTGCAAAGGACGCTACTACCTGATAGTTACTGTTTGTTTTTACAACAACAAAGAACAACGGGATTGAATATCTAGTAGATTTATAAGTGGCATCTAGTAGGCATATATGATTGCCATATTTATAAAGAAGTTTTTTTTGACTTATTGTCTGGTGAATAAAAAGAAGTTTTTGTTTTGTAGAAAGTACGTTAGACTAAATATAAAACTAAAATAAAAAATAATCTCTAAAGCTTACTAAAATTTATATAAAAATTTATCACATCAAAAGTATTGCCAGGGATACATTTCTAGATATATTAAACATATTAAGAACATTTCTCTAAAAGATAAAAATAAGTATAAAAATGCATTTGATTTATTAAATTATTTTTTTTATAGTATCATTTTTTCCTTTCATTATACTCAAAATAATCATAATATGCCAATACAACTTTCACTTACAAAAATATCTTCTTCATTTTCTCTGTTAAATTTTTCTGAAACTCCTAATTCTTTGCTATGGTCTGTAACTTCTCCGTAACCACGATAATAAAACTTATCTCTTGGGTATTTATTTCTCCATTCTTCAACCTTTTGCTGGAGATTTTCTTGATCCAGTTTAGAAAATTTCAACTTTGTAGCAGCTTTATACATATGATTTCGTATATCTTGAATTTTTGGGTAGTATCTTCTAGATGATGTTGGTGGTAATTCTAGTCTTCTAAATAGTTCGTCTTTTACATATACACGAATAGATCTTTGCATTTCACGTGGATTTCGGATCCCTTCTCCAACTAATTGATCAATTTTGGAAATAATTTTAGAATCAACTTGTAGTGACAAACCAGCCCTCTAAAAAAATTTTTGAATGTGTTTGGTTAACTTTAATGGTTTCATTTTATATTATGTTTTTTTTTTTTTTTTTACTTTCAGATTTAAGAAAAAGAAGGTCACAATATATTATTAACATTAAACTATTTTTGGTGGTCTTCTAGAAGGCACAAAATACAATAATATAGAAACAAAGTCAACAAAAGAGGTTGAAGTCAGATCAGCAGATAGTTCAGCATTGCAGAGTGCTGAAACTAAATCTGAGGGTTGGTAACCATATTTGACTTTTTAAAGATTTTGTTTAAAATTTCAGAAAAAAAAAAAAATTACTTTTCCAACTAAATGACCTTTGTGTTCGTCTTCTAAGGGAAAATTAACAACAATTTTTCTATCAAAATTAAATGTTTCTTTTTTGTTGCTCCAGTCCTCCTTCAGTTTTTCAGCGACAGTACGCTTTCGGCGTTCAGTGTTAGCTTCTGCCTAAATTTAAAATTAATCTATTAATCTATTCCATTAAATAGTCTAATTTTTACAAAAAATTTAACTTAAGTCTGTTACCGCTATTTTATAATAAAGCATAATCTAAGAAAAATCACAGAAATTGTATTGTACTTTAAAATCTGGAAAATAAACCACATCTCTTATTGTAATTTTTGCAGGGCAATTCATTTTCTTTGTATCTTGGGACAAAAAACGACTTTTAGCATACATTGTGGCACTATTAACAGTATCCTAAATGAAAGTTCACACACATAAAAACATTTTTAAAAATTATATATTTATCAAGATAAGATTCTAATCCATTGTTTTTGTTTAGTTGTTTTTGTATCGATTAATAGGACATATTTTACTCACATCAAATTTTTAAAAGTGGTCAAAATAAATTACTTTTGCCTTCAGTTTTTCTGCTTGATTTCTCATTTTCCGCGATATAGTATGATTGACTCCATGAGTACAATCAAGATGTTTTGAACCAACAATTATAAACGGAACTCCACTAAACATAATTTGCTGACTAGGGCGAAATTTATTCTTTTTATCTTCAAAAAGTATTTTGTGGTTTTTCAACTCAAAATCTAAAAAAACATTAAAGTGTCAATATTTAATTTATTCTAATATACTAATTATAAGTTTGATTTTTGCTCTTTTTTTAAAGCCGGCACAGACATTAAAGCCTAGCATTAAAGTCACCAAAAACAACAATATTATAAATAAATGTAAATTTAAATTAATTTTAACGTAAATTTATTTAACTTCATTAAATAAATGTATATTTATTTAACTTATTTAACTTGTGGGAAAAAAATAAAAAGACAGTATGATTGAATAATATATACGTCATAAATATATTACATTTTCAAAATAAATAGATTGCAAATGGAAACCGTATTGAAAGTTATATGACCATCAAATTATACTGTGCATATCCATCAAAACATGCTGTGCATACCCAGTGATTTAAATCATGCAAAATTTTAATTGAGTCATAACTCAAAGCTTTAAACCCCTCTATCCCTTGAGAAAGTAGTGTTGACTGACATGGTTCTTCATTCGCCAAATTAAGGCTAACGATAGTATTAACAGCGTCGATAATGCGGTCATTTAGCCATTCATTAGACTCCAAAATTTCTTTATCTTCTTGTTTTAGATTCAGTTCCTGTATCCACCATGCAATTGGTGGAAGTGGATCTTCTAAATCTATAATTTCTATTGAAGTTATCGCTTGTTTCAAATGAACATCTTCCAATAAAACAGAAGTTAGTGAAGTAATTAATGTAGGTGGAAACCAAAGTTTTAAATTGCTATCATTAACAACTTGTTTAATAATTTTTTCTCCAAGTTGAAGTCTGTAAACTCCTTTACCTAACTCGTCTATGATTTTAAAAGGACCTGTAAACCGCGCAGAAAGCTTGTCACCCATTCGTGTGTCACGACGGTTATGTTTAAGTACCATTTGCCCGACTTTATAGGTTGCAGCTGAATGCTTTAGATCTTAACCTTTTGTTGCGCTTTTTCAATCTTTTCTTTCGCTTGTTCTCGTGTATTTTGTAGGGATTGTTTAAGGGTAATTATATGTTGAGGTACATCATCGTTTTCATCAACAGAAGCCTCGCGTATGTCTTTTTCTATATCGATTGAAAGACAAGCTTATACTCCATACATTAGTTGGAAAGGCGAATACTTTACAGATGCTTGAATGTTAATGCGATAAGCAATAACAACTGGATTAATAAATAGGTCCCTATTGTCACTTTCTTTGTTTATTAGCTTGAGCAAATGTCTTAGCAAGGTTTGATTAAATCGCTCCGTCAACCTGGAAATCCAATAAGATAAAAGTTTGTTTTATAATTATAGCAAAAAATTTGTTTAATATGATATGGTGTGTATACGTTGTTGTAATGACAACAATTACGGTTTTAAAATAAAATTTTTCAAATTTTATTTTAAAACGGTAATTTTATATAACTATATTAAAAATATTATAACTATATAAAAATATTCAGCCATCTTGAAAAAGAATTATCTGTTTTTTAAAGATATACCCATTAGTTTGAGGATGGTATGCAGATGTCATAGCAACTGTTATTTTCATTTGTTCACAGAGATCGTGGACAAGCTGGTTCTTAAATTCCTTACCTTGGTTGTGTAAAATTTTGTTAGAAGCACCAAATCTGAATAAAAGCTCCATCAAAAATGCATGAACACTAATAGCATTTTTTTCCCGAATAGGTTTCACTTCCGCATATTTCGTAAGATATTCAGTAGCTACACAAATATACTTTTTTCCTTTTTTTGTCTTTTTTAAGAGGACTAATAAGGTTGATACAAGCCGCACATTTACATGCAAAATCTTTGACGTCTGCTGCTATACAAGACCACCAATACCGATTGGTTACTTTAGCTATTGTTGCAGATTGACCGAAGTGACATCCGCCGATAATTCCATCATGCATAGACTTTATTATATTTTTTTTTTGGTCTTCATTAATGATAACTCTTCCTAATTTAGTATGTAAACTCTTACTCTTGTGATAAAGAAAATCTTTTACAATCAAAAAAGAAGTAGCTTTTTGCCGCAGTCGTCTTTTTTGTGCTTTATCGTAACCAGGCGGATACACTTTATTTAAAATATAATGTTTCAAATTCATATAAATTTCTTCTTCTAGTTTATTATTTATATCTTCAATTTTGTGTTGAATTTTATTTAATGTTTTTAATGGCTTCCATCTTTGAGACTGTTATACAACTAAATAATAATTTAATATTTCTTTTCTTTTTCTTCAATTTATTCTTAATTTAATTGCTCAATAATAACTATTATTTACGATCTTTTTAGTAATTGACAAAAATAATAGACAAAAATATTTTTAATAAGAAAACTTGCAAAAATTTTACCTTATCTACCTGAATCCTTAAATGGTCAGCAATAACTATTGTTTATATTTTTTTAACAATTGCGTTATAGACAAAAAATAAAAACTGTTCTTAAAACCATCGGGATTGGCCGATGGTTACCTAGGCCGATGCATCGGTAAATAGTCGATGCATTAGCTGAATAGTCGATGCATTAGCTGAATGGTAGATGCATTGGCAGGCTGATGCCAATCCAACCCTACATATAATAGACTCATTTCTCACATTTCTTAAATTTCCATGGTAACCACTTTAACCCACTTTTAATGTGGTTTAAAGTGATAACCTGCGAAATTTCGAAAAGGTGGGTTAGGCATCTTTTCAAGAGTTTGTCATATAGCGTTAACATTATTATTAAATCTTAATATAAATACATTTATGACGCATACACTTTCTAGTCATTTCATGTTTTTTCATTTTTCATAAATCAGTAAGCTTATAATCATGTATACATATATATGCATGTAAATATATATGTGTGTGTATATATGTGTATATATACACATATATATATATATATATATATATATATATATATATATATATATATATATATATATATATATATATATATATATATATATATATACACACATATACACATATATGTAAATATATATATATATATATATATATATATATATATATATATATATATATATATATATATATATATATATATATACATATAATTATAAATGCATTATATAAAATAGAGTGCTCAATGTTCTTAAAAGAACAGAGCAATAAATTAGTAGATGTAATAGATAGTAGAAAGATAGTAGTATTCGATATATACGTATTTACATATACACATATATATCGAATGTACAAATATTTAAGAATGCTTAAAATATATTTAGTGCTACTGTTATTATATCCATATCAGTACTAATTAACAGATTAACAAACACAATTATTATTTGTAAGTCGATGTATCAGTACTCTGGTGCGAGTCAAGCTATAAGATAGTCGATGTAGCAACACTCCCTTGTAGCAGCAGACTATAAGATAATCGATGTAGCAACACTTACGCATGCTTTAAAAATGTTTTTTTAATAAAACAAAAACAAAAACACAACTAATTAAAAAAAACTTTCTAGTCATTATTATTGCGGTTTTTAAAAAAAACAATAAAATTTAATGTACTTCCGCATTAATTTAATTGCTTTGACATTTCGACAACAATAAAATGCAGCTTAAGAGACAAGGTAAAAAAATTGTAGTCGAAAGAGACTTTTTTTTTACCATAAAAGTCTCTTTCGACTACACTATAAGGATATATATATATATATATATATATATATATATATATATATATATATATATATATATATATATATATATATATATATACATATATATATATATATGTTGAAAAGGAAATGTTGTTTTTCTTAAATACAATTTACCTGCAATATATATATATATATATATATATATATATATATATATATATATATATATATATATATATATATATATATATATATATATATATATATATATATATATAAAATATATATATATATATATATATATATATATATATATATATATATATATATATATATATATTGCAGGTAAATTGTAATTAAGAAAAACAACATTTCCTTTTCAACAGTTCCTATGAAGAGTTTTTTTGAATTTGACAGTGGATATAAACTATAGCTTATATCCATTGTCGAATTCAAAAAAACTTTAAATAGGAAATGTTGGACGATTTACTTGCTGTACCTTTACAACACATTAACAATATATCTTCCCAGAAAATTAAAATAATGCAACAAAATTAAATATGGGCGATTCACTCTCATACAGCATAGCCTAGCAACAACAAGTCACCAACAACAACAATATTAGCAAAAGAATAAAGTGAAAGAGCTTGGTCAGAAAAAACATTCCAAAACGAAAGAATATAAAAGAATACTCAGAAAATTCAAACCTAGATTTAAACCAAAGTCACCTAACAAATTAGTGAATTGTTAAGTATGTAAATGCCTAGGCCAATCGTGTGAATATTACAATTATAATAAATCAAAGACAGATATCAATGAACACTAAGATAGCGAACTTAAACTAGTTTCACAAAGGTTAAGTGAACTTTGCGAGAATAAGGATTTGAAAAAAAAAATAATTATAAGATTACTGATATGTATTATACTTTTTGGTACACTATTCATTTTTGGATTTTTAAAAGAACTTGACTCATGGATAGCATGGATAGTACTCAATACACTGTTAGTACTATCATATTTTACAGGTGTTTTGGAATCAACCTCTTTGAGAGCTAGCACAGAGTTTGGTAAACCTGACTACCAGCTGTCTTCAAAAAAGCATATCCTACAAGACAGCATGATAATAGGCAGGTTTTACTGGGTTACATGGTACCAGTAACAGTAAGATCTAACAAAAATAACCTTAATCCCTTAAAAAATGAACTAAATATTATTTATGCATTTAAATAACAATGAATATTTTAATAATAAAGCAAACTAAGAAACAAATTTAAAAAATCTATACCCTTTACGCTAAAAGTTTTATCTTTTTTAAACGTTGAAAATTTTGAGGATGTTTGCATCTCATATTTAATAATTGAATCTTCTGCATTTTGTAGAGTGCCAAACACAGAAAATATGGTATTAATCACTTCATTGCCTTAAAATAAATATTATAATAAATTCTAATTATAAATACAAAAAGTAAAAATAAATACAATAACAAACTTAATATTAATAATAAAATATAATAAATTTAATAACAGAAAAGTAAATAAAGAAATTAAAAAAAAAAAAAGATTTACTTATTTCTTCCACGGTTGCCATTTTCTAAAAAACTTAGAAGAATTGACCAATTGGCTACAAAAAAACTTGGTTAAAGAGTATCAATTTAAATAAGGTTTGATTAGAGTTTGTTTACTGAAAAGTACACAGTAAATAAGTAATTTGGAGTAGAAGACTGAATAAATTAAACCTTTAACTTTAGATAATTTTAAAAAATATTTTATTTAATATTTAAATGTTAATGGCCATATAACCGTCTCAGTCAAACATACATATGGAAGTTTGAATAAATTTAACTGTAAATTTAGGAAGGAAGATTAAATTTAACAGTAACTTTAAATTTTACACTATTAAAAACATGTAAAATCTTTACATGTTGTTAACAGTGTGAAGTTTAAAGTTATTTATTATGTATAAACATCTCAGTCAAGGGTTCCCTAACACTGACATATTAATGAATTTAAAGATTTTTAACTTAATTTAAGTTAAAATTTTTTTAATGTTGACTATAAATAAAATATTTTTACGTCGTGGTGATTAACTTTCCGTTCTATTCCTTATGATTATATAAAAAGTATTATTATACAAGTAATTTTTTCCTGCCAGTTCTAAACTTTTGTTAAATAAGTGCTTCTATTCAAACACAAGTTTTACTCAACTCCGTAACTTCGCCAAAAAATCTTTAAAGCTTTATAACTCGCCATTTCGCGGACTTAGAGGACAGCGTCGGAATAGGGGTTTGACAAGAGAGCCTACCGTTGTAAGCATTTTGCGCCAAAACTTTTCGCAAAGCGAGCAAAGGGGAATAAGAAAAATTGTACGGTTTATATCTATCCATATTTCAAAATAATACAAATCTTTTTGAGAATACAATTCTTTTTGACAATAATCAATATCAAATTGTTGTCTTAACAAATCAATAACAGTTTTTGTAGGTTGAAACGTGTTAAATGAGATTAATTTATTAGAGTAACAATTTATAATTTCGTGATAAAGTTTAAAACAAGTAGAGTTGAAATATTCTTTTAAAACGTTGTAATTATTGTAAACGAAATCCGATATGGTTTTGTTTTTGTCTTTCATTTTTTCTTTTTTAAAATAATTTTTCCATTTTCGTTAAATTTGAGATAAGGATTTAAAATTTCTTTAACAAACAATTTAATTTCTAAACATATGTAATCTTGAAAAGCGTTTTTGATTAGTAATCTTTTGTGATCAGACAAAAGTTTGCATTTTAACATTTTGACAGCGTTAAATCGAGTCGAAAATTCTTTGATCCATATTTTAATTACGTTTTCGTCTATATCTTTACGCTTGTTCATTTTAGGTATAAAAATGTGACTGCGAACGGCTAATTTTTGTCTCGTTTTGATGTTTTGAGATTGCACGCTTCGTAATCATTTTGTAAAAGTTGCAACAGTTCTTCGCTGTCCCAATCAATCTGATTCGCTTGATTAGTTTCCAGAATCTGAAAATTCTTCTGATGATTCGCACAATCCATATCTCTTGCTTCTTTTAATATCTTCAAGCATTAAAGCAGCTATTTCGCTCTCGCTATATATATATATATTTTTTTATTTGATTTTCTTTTTCTCTATTTATATCGTTTTTATCTTCTTCGTCGTTAGTTTGTTGGTTTTCCTTCTCTTTTTCTTGACAAAATGGATTGAAAAGTAACAATTTTTTTGTTTACGCTCATTTCGTTGAAATCAAAATCTAATTTTCCTTGAGCGTCAACAGGTATAAACACTTTTTGTTCTTTGGGATTTGTAATTTGAGTTCTTAATCTGGCAACAGAACAATTTCTTTTAAATAATGCCAAATATCCGTGTTGACTAGAAGTTTCTTTGTTAAGTAAATCGTTAATGACGTGATGCCTTTTGCCAGCAGAAGGAAAATCGTTTTTAAATATTTTTTCAATTTCGCTGTTGTTGTCAAAAGAAACGATACATTTGCAATGAGATAACAATTTATTCTAAGTTTGACTCGATTTAGAAGGTACTGCATGAAATACAGTAATGGTACCTACTCCGTGATGCGATCCGTTAGAACATGCGCTAGTATATTGTTGACTCTTGAGACAAAAAGCACTAATTTCGTCACACAACAAAAGAGTTTTTAACAAACGATGATCGCTGTTTTGAATACCGTATTTGTTTTTAGAAAAACTAATAGCGCGTTGTATAACGGGATCTAAATTTTTAGCACTGTCAACAGTTATAATGTTATAAGCTTCTAAACTGTTTTTATTAGAATTGATAACATCGCGCCACGTTTTGTGTTGAGATTCGCTAGGTTCTCTCATTTAAATAACAAATAACATCTCTGCAACCGGATATTTATCAAATTTTAAAAGCTCGCGTGCCATTGTTGACTTTCCGCTATTTATAGGACCTGTAATAATAGTGTTTTCAGGATAAACATATTTTGAAGGTTTAAAAATATTAAACTTGAATTGCGTCGGTGGAACATCGTCTTTGATTTCCGGTTCTTCATTTTTTCCTTTTATATAAAAACTGTGAAAACCTTTTTCGTTCAAAATTTCAGTTAACGTTCTTGAATCTTTTTTTTCATTTTTAAGAGGTTCGTTTTCTACGGGATTAGTTACAATTTTTTTTTCTTGTTCTTCCATTTTTTTATATCATTAATAAAAACAAATGAATACAACTTTTTTATAACAAAAAATTTTATATTTAAAAAAAAATTTTTTTTTTTTAAATTAAATAATGTTAATAATAATTTTTTAAAATCTTCCTTTTAATATCAATTGATATACGCTTATTTTAAACATTTCAAAACATCGAATAATAGTTTTATTGTAATCGTTTTCAATGAGTTCAAGGTCTCCTTCTTTAACGTTTAAAAATCTTCCATATCTGTTTTAATCACTATTTATTTCTCTTGATAATTTTAACAACAATAAGTTGTTGTAGATTAATTTTTTATTTTCTTCGACTTTGTGTAGTCTCAAATTTTCTTTTTTATGACTATAATACTCTTCTAAAAAACAATTACAGTTATAATGTATTTTTTTAGATTGTGATTGAGAAATACATATATTACAACTGTCTTTAAAACAACCAACAAAACTTATTTTTTTAATATAATCAACAAAACAGTTTGAACATTCTAAAAAAGAGTCAGGAATGAGAAATTGTCCGTTAAGATTAACACATATTAATTTAGAAGTATAATAATCGCTTTTTTCTCCGTCAATATTTTCTATTAAATAAAAATTCTCAAAACCAATTTCTTTTAATTTGTTTTCAAGTTGTTTAACAGATAACTATTAATCAAACAATTCAATTTTTTTTTAAATGTTTTTTTACAATTTAAAAAAGATAAATTTTTTATTACAATTTACAGTTTTTTTAAATCAAATAATAAAGGTATTAAAACTTCACGATTAAACGTAATCATTGAATTGTATTGTTCTGTTAATTTTATAATATTTTTTTCAATTTCGAGTTACGTTTGTATATGTTCATCGCTACAAAATTTTTTGATATCGGGTAAATTAGCTTTTAAATTAGCTTTTCGAGTCGGATCTTACCCGACGGGCATTTGTTTTTTAAAAATTACGATCTAAATGTATTTTGAATGTATTTTAAATGTCTTTTAAACGCGTTTTAAACATTAATGTTTAAGGTGGTAGGCCTATGAAAAATAGAGATTTTTGATCAAAAATTGAAAAAATAGGAAATATATTGTATTTATGTAAAAATTTATCCTCTATCTGCTGATATATGACTTGTTTAGGTTTGATTAAATTAGTTTTATTATATTTATTAAAGTGTTTTAAATAACATATTTTGTTAGCTAGTTTTTTTGTTTACCTTAGCAACGTCATAGCAACGAAAAATTAAGACCTTATTTTACCCAAATTAGATGGCCAAAATGACAAATCTTGTGAAGCTTCTTTTTCCAATATAATATAGATCTGCGGTGTTTTTGGTCATGCTTTAAAGTTACATTTTCTTATAATAATTGCCATATTAAACTGTTTATATTAGCTGTGGTATAAAATCATTATTTATGAATTTTTCAACTCTTAATTTAAATCAATCAATTTGTACTTGTGTATAATCGTAATAAATGTCTTCTGGAAAAAGCAGCAAGCAAAATTTTTCACGAAAAAGAAAGAAGAAACCTCCTGTAAATAAATACTCAAAAAAATGTCTTTCAAATATTTCATCAGAAAAAGTTACATCTAGCATAAGTAAAAAGAGGCTAATTATGAATCAAACTAATCTCAATACAATCAGTGAAGTAATAAAACAAGAAGATGATTACTTTTTATTCGTAAATTTCTCTGTACTCAAAAGTGTATTTCAACCTTTGTTAGTATGTCCTGAATGTGGCCATAAAAAAATAACTCTTAGTGATATCAGAAAGAAGAGAAAGGGATTTGCCCATAATTTAGAACTTTTATGTGAGTCATGCGAATGGTATAAATCTGTTTATACATCAAAAGAATGTAAAACACAAAACCATGGTCAAGGTCCTAAAATCTTTGAAGCAAATGCAAGAGCAGTAATTGGTTTTCGTGAAATCGGTAAAGGTTTTACTGCAATGGAAACATTTTCTCAATGCATGAACATGTGTTCTTTATCTAAAACACCATTCTCTAACCTTAATGACAATGAAATTTATACAGCATATGAGAAAGCTGCTTTTAATAGTATGAAAAAAGCAGCTGAAGAAGCTCAAGACAAAACATTAAGTATTCCAACAAAACAAAGAGTAACAATTGATGGCTCTTGGCAAAAGCGGGGCTTTACATCACTAAATGGTGTTGTAACTGCTGTCATCAACAACAAAATTATAGATACTAAAGCTTTTTCTAAGCATTGTAAAGGTTGTTCAATGTGGAAAAAACATAGAGGATCACCAGCCTACAACAGATGGAAAGCAGATCACATATGTCACATTAACCATACAAAGTCATCTGGTGCAATGGAGGCGGCTGGCGCATTGGAAATCTTTTCTCGATCAGTTAAAAAGTACAATTTGATTTATCATGAATACCTAGGGGATGGTGATACTTCATCTTTTAAAGAAGTTAAAGAATCTAATCCATATAAAAATTATAATATTCAACCAATAAAATT